CCCCAAAACCCCAAAACCCCAAAACCCCAAAACCCCAAAACCCCGATAAATCAATTATGTTGAATGTTAAGGAAAGACAATTGATGGAGATGATAAATAATAATCTTCATCAAATGCCTTCATCTTCAATTTGTAGTTGATTTTCTCTACCTCATCCAATTTGCTGTTATTGTAAAATCCATATTCTAAATAGAGTTAGCATAAGATCAAAGGGCATTAATCGTAAACATTCTTCTCCAACCCCAGCACCATTTTATGCCAGAAAATGTCTCTTAGTAAAAATTAGAGTATAAAAATCATAAATCTCATTCTAAATATCAAATTTAACAAAAATAAACACAAAAATTCAGCTCTTATCTGCCTATGATATTAAAAGAATCCTCAAACTGGTTACCTTCATCATTATTGTTCATAGAAGACCTGCTTCCTTCGGAGGAGGAATTTCTTGTATCTGTGCCTTTCCTATTCCTTCTCCTATTAGATCTCTTTTGCTTCATTCTATCCTTCCTCTGCTTCTCATCAATATCGACATTATGTTTTCTGCATATAGGGCATTGGAATCTTTTTTCAATGTCAGGTCTGACTTCTAAGGTTTTTATTAGCTTGACTTCTTCAATATAGCACTTGCGATGGAAATGATGTTTGCACATTCAGAATACAAGAGATCTCTCAAAGTACGGATTCACAAGAATTCCTTTACAAAGGTCACATGTCTGGTTCTTAGTTCCCTTGAACCCATGCTGGTACTTGTCAACTATGCTATCCACCATTGCTGAGTTCTCATTGTTTAATAACTTCTGAGCTGATTTGTACAGGAATTCTTGGTCGGCCTTTGAGACAAATAAGCTTTGGAACCACTTTTTAGAGTATCTAAATGTTGCACCCTCATCGACTTCTAGGAGGAGTTTTATTACTTCCCTGAAATCAACGTATCTAGACATCATCAGCAGGAATTCTGAGATTTTGCTAAAAATAATAGTATTAACTGCTTTAGTTTTCTTTGTCTCCTCTTTAACATAATACTTTTTCTTGATCTTGAAAAGTGTCCTCAACACTTGGTTCCAGATCTTATCCTTGTAGCTAGGAATTGAGGTCCATTTGACACATAACTGGCATATTTCAGTATAAATTTTGGAGAAACTGAGGGTGAATTTCGAATCATCCTAAACTTATTTTCTAATAACTTACCTTTTTGTTGTGAAATCCATCTTGTTTTATCTCATCATAACTAATTTCTTCAAGAAGACTGAGGAAAATGGTGAGACTGTTGTCAATGTCCCCACATCTTTTGTACAAGAATGCTCTTGCTTCTTTGATGATTGCATTATCATCCTTGATGTCATCTAGACAATCAATGGGATAGTAGTCCTTAATGGAAATCCTTCTTCAATCTAACTTTGCAAGCAACTTTATATGCAGTTTTAGAAAGTATTTGTAGTCATTAAAATGCGGGTTTTGGAATTTCACAGCAGATTTCATCACCTCGCTGATTTCGGCCTCTCTTTCATTAATAAAATCAGACAGATACTTAAGTTGTAGCTCTTCATTTGCAGAAAGCTTATCTATTATTTCGATCTGCTGGTTTGGAAGCCATTCATCAATGACCTGACTTGTTTTGACAGAATCAGCTATAATAAAGTCCTGGATGACCCGAATGATCTCATTTTTGATGCGAGTGATGCTTTCTTCCTCCAGAGTATCTCTCTTCTTAATATAAAGCCTATGTAGCCATTGGAATACATCTTGGGTCTTTCATCCTTTAGAGTTAAGGAAAGTCTGAATGCATTGCTCAAAATCTTTCTGATCTTCATAAATATAAATTCTAATTTTATCTATAAGCAACTTCTGAGATATCTCTATTATCTCGCTCAGCTCCTCATGCTCCATGTACTTAGAGTAATAAGGGAGGAGATCCAGGATCTCCTGTTCCAGGTCTGAGAGGTTAATATCATTTGGCCCGGAGAATTTATCCTCAGGCTTTAACTCAAAATTGGATGCTTTCTTCTTCTCATTAAAGTCATATATCTCATAGAGGACAAATATGATACTTTCATTTATTAACCCGATTATTTTCTGAGGGTCAAGCCTGTACATTTCTCAGTTGGCAATTTTAATTACCCAGTATGAGAACTCAAATTTGAGGTTCTTCAAGCTTGCATAGCTGTTAATAATCTCTTTAAATTTTTCAATAATGATCTCATGTGTTATGTGGAATATGTCCTGATCATTAAGGTTTTTAAGCACTCTTCAGACAGTTTTATTCGTATAAAGTTCTGACATCATTATAAAGAATGATCTTTCATCCACATTGAGAAGGTCAAATGCATGCTGGTTCTCAAAGATAAACTCTATTGTTTGTGTCAGGTAGATTTCATGTTGATCAAGTGTCAGTTTACCCTCTGGATATCTCTCTCCGCGTAAGAAAAGACTGATGATATGCATGAATTTTAGTCCAATGTATTGGTATGAGGAAGTAATTGAATACTTCTCATCTTTAGATTTCTTATACCATTCCTTTATCTCTTCTAAATTTATTTGCTTGTTGATTGATTTGAAGCTGTCATACACTTTCCTTAAAATTGTCCAGCAAGACCTGTCTTCAGCTTGGTTAGAAGTTATCGTTAGATGAATAAGTGTTGTTGTCAAGCTCTTTAATGAGCAGACAACAGTTAGCTCATCAAGATACTCATATTGTGTGAAGTCAAGGCATGAAGCTATCTTCTCTAAAATATGATATTTTCTATTCTCAAAGTAATAATCACAGATTTTCTTCAGGACTGCATTTGGAATAATGATCTCTTTAAAATATCCACTTAAAATAAAAGGTTCAAGATTTTCTACAAATTTATCTTCAAACCCTTCGCTTTGGAATTCAGCAAAAATTTGATTAAAGAGGAAATCAAATGAGTCAATCTCATGACAGAATTCAATAGCAACTTTAATAGCATTATCATCTCTTTGAAGGTCAAAGTTCCCATTATTCTCACTTTGTCTCCGGCTACCATAGAAACTTTGTATCATACTGGCGATTCCAATAAGGACAAGCTCTTTAAGTCTTTCAATAAGAGCTTCTTCTCTATCTTCTGAGATATAAGGTACACCATAATATCCTTTGATATCTCCACTGAAAATGTCAAGAGCTGCTTTTAGGCATACGAGCCATCCTCATTTCTTCTTAATATATTCAAGATAATCCTCCCAGTGATAAAGCTTAGCAAGTAACAGCTCATTTTGGCCAAGCACAATGATCTGATTCTCGTGTGTCACTATTGAATGAGAAAAGTTCTGCTTCTCTGCTGTCTCAGAATACCTAATATTTCCATTAAGAAGGGAAACTCCAGTGTCAACTTCTGCTTTTAGTGACAAATCTCTTAAGAAGTCTTCTCCAAGAGAAACCTGGAATACGCCATTATAAGCCCCCACAATTGTCATTTTGGAATCCTCTGCTTCTTTTAGCATGATACCTTCCTTGGAGAAGGATCCTGGGAGGAAATTTGGAATGAACAAAAGCCTAACTTCTTTCTTGTTGACAAGAATCATAATGACACTATCTGATATAAACTGGACTCTGTCAATAGGGTAATCACAGATGTAGTATCCATCAAAGGAAATCATATTGTATGGTTCATCTGGACTTCCTAGAATAGCTATCTGCAGGACCTTGTCCCAGCCAATAGCTAGTAGTCACTTGCTGTTTTCTCTCGAAATAGTTGGAGTGATTCCATATCCCCAGTCTAGATGACACAAAGATCCCTCCTTGATAAAATTCTTGCTGAAGTCCTCTCTTATTACAGAATAGAAGTCAGCGATTGGGTCATTGAGGTAGTAGATGACTAAACGATTAGTACTTGCAACAGCTGTGATGTTCATGTATGAAACTTCCAAAACTTCATAAGGCATTCCTTCCTTAGGTTTCAGTACAGCTATAGAGCTTAAATCCGGAATTGGCTTCTCAATGATTTTGCAACTTTTAGAATTATACTTCAAAAGCCCTTTACTTATAATTATTCTGTAGATGAATCCTCTTTTATCTGCTGCCATAAGTCATTGAGATGATGTATCAGACAGAAATTTAATAAAGTTAACTTCTGTTTTGCAGACATCATCAATTTCAATGAGTATTTTAGATTTTATTAAATCAAAGATTCATACTTTTCCATTAGTATATCCGACTGCTAATCGATCTCCAGTCAGGGAAATATCGATACAAGTTACTCTGCTAGTAAATACTTTCTTTTTCTTAGGAATCAGAATATTTTCCTGATTTCCTGTTTTAATATCAAAGACTCTCACAGGACCTAGTGAACACCCAACATACAATTTATCCATATAAAGCTTGACTGCACATGGCTGACCATATGCATTCTCGTTGACAGAATAGGCTACCTCTGAAAGCTTTCTTAATTGTTCTAACTTGAGCATCTTCTTGTCTTCTGGAGGGATATCAAATTGGCTGTTTTCTCCGAAAAACACAAACGCTTCTTCAACAATTGCTTGATTGAATCCTTCAGCCTTTTCATTATTCTGTACTATCTCCAGGATCTGCATCTTTTTATACTGCTCTGCCATCCTTTTGACTCGGAGTTGTTCCTCCTTTTCCTTATTTCTCCTCTTCTGTAAGTTCGAATAAAATTTCTTCTTCGTCACTATCCACTGAGCTAGATATGTTATGCAAGATAATTACTTAATGATGTTCTTCACTAAAGTTTTGCGCTCATCATCTTTATTTTCTTTCTCCATTATCGCTTGGAACAAGCTCTTCCTATCAGTAGGCTCATCCTTTGAAGGAGATTGGGGTTTTAAGCTTTGTGAGAGTGGGGAATACTTTGGCTTCTCAACCTTTGGCCTACTCGGAGGACTCATCTTAGTTTCCTCTTTTGGCTTTTTGATATCTTCTTTGGGCATTTTATTACTGACCTTTTTCTCCTCTTTATCTACATCTTCTTCAGAATCAAGCTTTGAGAGAGAGAACTTAGCCATATTTCTAGGTTGATGAGTTTGAAGAAGGTCTTCTTCCTCATCAGAAGACCTAAGCTCAAGTCCACTAAATAAAGAGTGAATCCTCTCCTCGTTAGGCCTTGTAGTTTCTAGAAGAATGATTAGATTTTATTGAGAGGATTTGCAGCACTAATTAAAGTTTATGACTTACGAGTAAGCAATTCCTCATCATCACTATCATCTTCCATTAAGATTTGGTTGACTCTTTCGTCCCTATCCATCTTTTGAAATGGCAATAAAATTATTAAGGAAATCACAAGGAGGGGTTTTGGGGTTTTGGGGTTTTGGGGTTTTGGGG